TAAATACGTATTTGGTTACAAATAAAACTTTTCAAACGATAATTTCAAAGATATAATACACAAAATAACCGATGTATTCTTTTCAATTAATGACTGAGAGATAAAGATTTCCTCTTTCTTCTGGAGCGAGTCTAGAAAATAAAAATCTAAAAAAAGGAATATATATTCGGTTACAAATATTTTTCAAATCACGCAATGTATCACAAAATGGCCGACGAATCCTCTTCTCGTACAATTAATGACTGAGAGATAAAGATTTCCTCTTTCTTCTGGAGCGAGTTTAGAAAATAAAAATCTAAAAAAACGAATACATATTCAGTTACAAATATTTTTCAAACGATACCGATAATCATGTACACAAAATGGCTGACGTATCCTTATCTCGTACAATTAATAACTGAGAGATAATTCTTGATTTCATTGATAAATATTTCTTCTAGAATGAGCTTAGAAAATCTAAAAAAATGAATATGTATTCGGTTACAAATACTTTTCAAATATATGAATAATCACGCAATGTACACAAAATGGCTGACGTATCCTTTTCTCGTGCAATTAATGACTGAGAGATAATTCTTGATTTCATTGATAAACATTTCCTCTTTCTTCTAGAGCAAGTTCAGAAAATAAAAATTTAAAAAAACGCAATGTATCACAAAATGGCCTTATCCTTTTCTTGTGCAATTAATGACTGAGAGATAAAGATTTCCTCTTTCTTCTGGAGCGAGTTTAGAAAAACGCAATGTATCACAAAATGGCCTTATCCTTTTCTTGTGCAATTAATGACTGAGAGATAAAGATTTCCTCTTTCTTCTGGAGCGAGTTTAGAAAAACGCAATGTATCACAAAATGGCCTTATCCTTTTCTTGTGCAATTAATGACTGAGAGATAAAGATTTCCTTTTTCTTCTGGAGCGAGTTTAGAAAATAAAAATCTAAAAAAACGAATACGTATTCGGTTACAAATATTTTTCATTATGCAATATACACACAAAATAATTGACATATCTTCTTCTCGTGCAATTAATGACCGAGAGATAATTCTTGTTTTCATTGATAAACATTTCCTCTTTTTTCTAGAGTAAGCTTAAAAAATCTAAAAAAACAAATACCTATTTGATTACAAATACTTTTCAAACGATACGAATAATCATGCAATGTACACAAAATGGCTGACGTATCCTTTTCTCGTGCAATTAATGACCGAGAGATAATTCTTGATTTCATTGATAAACATTTCCTCTTTCTTCTGGAGCGAGTTCAAAAAATAAAAATCTAAAAAAACGAATACGTATTCGGTTACAAATATTTTTCATTATGCAATATACACACAAAATGATTGACATATCTTCTTCTCGTGCAATTAATGACCGAGAGATAATTCTTGATTTCATTGATAAACATTTCCTCTTTCTTCTGGAGCGAGTTCAAAAAATAAAAATCTAAAAAAACGAATACGTATTCGGTTACAAATACTTTTCAAACGATAATCACGCAAAATGGCCGACTAGATTATCCTCTTCTCGTGTAATTAACAACCTCGGGGATAATTCAATGGGATAATTCAGCTGGGAACGGCCGAAGGTGGCGAAACATGGAAATCTATTTGATAATAATACGAACGGTCGTTAACAGTTGTTGAGCACGAGGCTGTGTAACCCTTATCTTTCGGACGATCGATAAAACCTGCTGCGAAATGGACGCCGGGAAAATTTAAATTGCGCGCGCTTCGACCATAATCATCCTTAATTCGTTGCCGCGCTATAATCGAAACGACTTTCGATGTTGTTCTTATTATTCCTGTCCACCCTCCCCTCTTTTACGTTTTCCTTCGATTGCAACGATTTCAGGCGATCGAGAGAGTGAAAGGGAGGATCGAGAAGAGAAGGACGCGTTTGAACGTGTATCTCGAGCGGAGGAAATGAAAATGGCGTGGAAAAAAAATTTCAAATTAGAATTATAAATTATTGAATCGCATTTATTTAAATTCAATAACATCACCGATTTTAAATTCGATTTATAACGATTGAAATTTCGAATGAAATTATTTTTATATTTTATATTATTTGTACCAGCAAATAATCAAATATATCCATATATATCTCTATATTCGAGTAAATATTCCATCGAAATAAAATAATAAATAAGATTTTCCCTTAACTTTTGCGGTGAATGAAATAAATAGATAAATAAATAAAATAAATTGAATAGAAAAAAATTCTCGATAAACAAAGAAGAATTATAACAATATTCGCGCGATAAACAAGGAAGAATAGAATATAATTAAATTTTCTTCTATACACCCATACGTACGTTGTTTTATCGTATATTATATTGCTCGAATTCCTTGAAATTCGTGAATTTTACGTTATCTCGTTTATTTGCACGAATTTTACGTGGCTTCTTCTTATTTTTTTGGCACTGGTATTCGTCACCGAAGAAATTCCACATGCACAAAGACTCGTTATACTGAACAGCTGAGAAAAATATATAATTTATATAACTTACTTTCCATCATCCAAATTAAAAAAACAAATTTTTAAATCAATTCTAAAAATTCAAAAAAATATGTTAAAATATCTCTTAAAATATCCTCGAAAAATTACAATAAATTACAATAAATTACAATAAATACTCGAGCATCCATTAATTAATTAATTCGTTAGAAATTCGAATAATCCACTATTTTTACTTCCAGTTGTTGAACTTGGCGATATTCTCACCGGACAGAGAAGATGACTTTCTCATCCAGACTTACCCAACTGCGTGTGATCGGGGTTCCACATGATACTGTTGACTTGCAAATCCTTATCCACCATTATCATGTCCACAACCCGATCAAGGCTGCCCAGGACGGGCATTAAAGTGCATTCGGCCTGTTGCACGAAGTATGACCAATTAACGACCAGCTCCGCGCTGTGCTTGTTCCACGCGAGGTTCTTCACAGCGCCGTGAAAGTACACGTTTCGATAACCCTCCGGGACCAATTTGTTCACGTTCCACAGCGACAGCGATGCGTTCCCGTAACCACCGCCGATACACAGGTACCCGCTCTCGTAAGGGTGCCA